AATGCATTTGCTGCCAGTTCTACGGTGACTAATGAACCTCGTTCTGCAGATACTATAGCTCCAACTTGCTTAGTTCCTTTTTTGGCAATAATTTTCTTTGGCTTTAGCACTGTTGTAACGCCAGTTTCATCTAAATTATATATTCTCGAGGGCGGAAATTTATATTTATCCAACACTGTGCCTAGCTTTGTAAAAAATTCGTTAATATTGTGCTTATTAAAAGATGATGCTCTGCTAGCACTTGTCGATTCCGGGGCTCTAATCGAGAGTTGAGGGTTTCTCTTTAAAAAACCAGTCAGCCAATCTGGACCAGCTTTTTTATTCTCATGCCAAGATGGTGGAATATCAGAGGCGTTGAATTTCTGTGCACATTCATATGCTAATTTTCGCACTTCCTCTGGTAGAAGACCAAAGAAAATTGTTGCACATTTTAACAAATATTCTGCTAACTTGTTTTCCTGTTCTTCACTAAAGACCAATCTTACTTTTTTGTAGCCAACCACAGCGTTTTCTACTCCAGATTTCAACTTCTTTACAAATCTGTATAACGTCATATGACAAATATCTAATTCTCTGGCAACAGTTTTTATTTTTTTACCATCTTTAATAACTGCATCTGCAGCTCTTTGCATCAACTCCTGAGATACAGAACCTCGTGTTGTTTTTCGAATATAAGTCCGCATACTGTAAAAGGAAAAAAAATATATTACTGTATTTTTACTGCATTGCCAGTACAGATGAACTGGGGCAAGTTGTTCCAAGGTCACAACATGCCCCCAAAGAAGGGAACATCTAGCCCCAATAATACATGGGTTCAAAACAGCAACTACTAGATTAGGTTACGAGACATACACGGTTTTAGCATTTATATCAAGACACCATATATATTTTTGAATAAAAAGTACCAAACAACTAATCGCTAATTATTTAAATTCGCCAGATATACCAAAAATATCAAACACGAAAATATTTACTTACGTGGATCAGCGACGTACAGGCTCCTTTTCCAATATACTGGACGTTACTGGCCTAACTAAGATGGCTGCCGACGATGCGCAGAAACATTCGATTTTATGACGTATTTACTAATTATTATTATTTTTTTTCCTTATGAAGCTATTTCAATCGGAACAACTTACCACGGGAACTTTTAGCCCCGCTCTCCCCTACTATATTCTGTTAAACCACAAGCAACACTAACAAGAAATTCGTAAAAGTTTATAATAAAAACTATTATAAATTATAATTTAATTTTGTTCTTTTACCTTTATGACTAGAAAATTTAGAAAATACTTTTTAAATATGCTTGTTCTGGTAGGCTAGATGATTCAGAAATTATTTTCCCTGTTGATATATGATTCAATATTTCTTCAAAGCATTTATCTGTTTCAATTTTTAATGCTTCAAAAAGTTATTGCAATTTCATTACGTCTTCGTAAACCTTGTCCATTCCTAAACGAAATTACCAATACAAATAAGCTTCTATGTAACATTTATCCAAAAACAAATTATAGTATTAATGCGTTGGATTTTTCAAAAATAAAAACCTCTATTACAACAATTTAATTCTGATGGACCAAATAGTTTTTGTAATGTTAATGATAAGATTCAGACTACTACCGAAAGTTTGTTTCCTGAAAGTGTCATTGAAGTATGAATGTAACTCACATATGATAATCAGACCTGTCCGATTACTGAGAAACACGATATACAGATATGTCTTAGATAGGCATGTAAACAATTATAGTCGTAAACCACAAATGTAATCATTGCACGATTGAAAGCTAGGTAATGCCATCATTGCCTTAAAACCACTATCCTAATAGAGAGGTTGCGGCCGACGTTTTCAACGCGAAAGCGTGTACGTCGGACGTTCAGTGCCGCATTCCTGTAAGCCTAGAAGTTTGACAATGGCGTTTAGAACATCAGTGGAATTATGCTCGACGTTCCAAACGCCATTGTCGAACTTCTAGGCTTACAGGAAGGCGGTGCTGAACGTCCGACGTTTACGTTTTCGCAATGAAAATGTCGGCCGCAACCTCTCTATTATCTTATAAAAAAAAAAGACTCGCTGGAGCTTACTCTGTTCGAATTTTCACTATACTTGTTGGAAATCTTCAAATTCCAGGTATGTTTTTATGACACAATTAAATACATCAGACAGCCCTCGCTACAGAATACTGCAGGGGCTCCGAAACCGGAGGGCTGAGTCGGTTATCAGCATAATTAGCGTAGTTTGCATGTAGCGTAGTTTGCATGTATCGTAACAGAGAAACATGAACTGTCACGGACTAGTAGCATACCGTCTTTATTGACGAATCCCAGTTCCGTTTGGAAACTGACGATCATTGGCGAGCGCTTCAATCCCGTCTTTGATATTGAGCTGAACACTGCCCCATTGCAGGCGTAATGGAAACCACTTCTTATGACCTCTAGTAATGGTGCGAGAGACATTGACGGTACAGCTGTACTGTATGTTTAGGAAATCTTACTCCCTCATGTTCTGTCTCATGGCAGGACTACAAACTCCCATTTTTCACAAAATAATTCCTGGCCACACACAACTGAGCTGCTAGGGTTTTTCAGGCATCACGTTACTACTGCCAAATATCAAGATTTGTCGCCCATCGAGTATTTGTAGAACCAGCTGTGCATAAACATGTGTAGGGCCAACGTCTATCGATAAATATGTTGCAGCATATGATGCTGCAACATATTTATCGATATGCATCGTTCCATGCCCCTCCGTATCACCGCATGTATCCAAGCAAAAGGAGGTCCTGCAGGCAGCTTTTCATGTGTGAAGATTTTATTTTCCCCTCGGTTACCCCTTTTTTGAAAAACAATAAAAAAACAAATGTAGAAATTGGCAGTTATTTTTAAATTTAAACCAAAGACATTAGAAATCAGTCTCCATGGTGACAAAATATAAAATTTTAAAATAAATATATAATACTGATCATTTTTGATTCTCCATTTTTGGCCCTTCCATCGTCTTGCCTGTGCTTCGTCTTGGGTCCTTTGCCTGTGCTTCGTCTTGGCTTCTGTTTTATCTCCTAGTTACGGTACTCCCTACAAGGAACTAAATGTTCCTTTAAACTATGGACCTTCTAAAGTTACTTTTCATAATCACTTGCATTTAGTATTAAAATTAAGATATTAGTCAAAGCTACTGTTTCTTGGATTTATTCTATATAACTTTATCATTTAAAACAACAAAAAACAACGATTTCAACTAGCTCTATGATGCCGTGCTTTAACTACAGAGGATAAGAGCTGGCTACCCTCCTAAAAAATATAATGGATCCTAGCGTAGTGAGAAGCACCCATATACAGTACAGTATACTGTATATAATATTTGCTTTCACTTTCATCACGCAGGCTACTGTTACTGTTTACTCGTGAACTGTAGCTAATAGTGCTGACTAGAAAGAGAAATACACCAGTCATTCGTCACAATCTTGTTCTCTTTGTGTCGTGATAACATTTTAATTTTTTATTGTACGTTAAACCTTCGTCTTGCATTATCAGATAATATAACCTATTTATAACAGATTAATTTAATAATAATCAAACATACTAAACTTGTAGAAGATGGGAAATTAAAATGATAAAGAGGAAGGCAAGTAAACAGGCTTACTAATACCGGGTCTATTTATAGGATTATACATTTTTTCAGCTTGTTCCTCATTTATTAATCTACCTCTCGATGATTTATTCATGGTTACGGGACTGTTGTGATGATAGTTATCCTTTTATCAATTGGTAAAAAGTAGTCAAGATACAGTTGCTTTTAAAACTTCAACCGCAACCTCGCTATTATAGAAGTGTACGAACCAAAAACCATAGTTGGATACATTTCTAATTACAAGTGAATCGAAGCATTAATTAGCTTTTTTAAGTCAATTAACGGAGAAGCCACTATTCACTTGTAATTGTTTTCTACCAAGTTTACAGGAAAAAGACATCTTTATTTGTTTTCCCCACCAATTTTTGGTGCCACCTGATGGCAGGAAATAACAGAAAACAAAATATATTATTATCAAGAATAAAAAATTATTTGTTTCTATTTTAAAATCTTTATTTGAGTATTTATCGATGAGGATAAAATTGATCCTCCCGAAACGTTACGAAAAAATAATAGACTTTAAACAATGTTTCCTACCATTTTAATCTTTTTGCTGTGAAGCGCAAATCTTGAATATTTTCCAAAAGTATTGCATGATTAAATTATCTGTGCGACTGTGAGCAATTTTTTGAAATTCCCTGCCATTTTTAAGCTGATATTTTACATTTACTTTCCTTAACTTGGAGATAGTTTTCGACATTTTTTACAAGTTGCGTAGCGTAATAACAAATTCTTATATACAGTAATTCATAACCTGAAATTTAAAACGGAAAAATAAAATATAGGGTAACAAATGACGTCCTCTGTTTTTTCTCCAATTAATAATAAAACGTACCGTAAGATGGCGCCAGCAAGTTGACTGGAAAAAAGTTTGAGAATAGTAAGCTAGTTCCATCTGGCGGAAAAGTAAAAAAGTTTTATTACAATGCGGAAAACAACAATACAAAAAGCTTTTTGTGTTATGTTTTATGAATTTTTAAAGAAACCAGTTTAAAATTTTGTCATAAGAGAGCTATATTATTGCGTAAAATATAGTGCTGTACTGTACATAAGAAGTGTTATATCTTTTAAGTAACCATTTGTTAGTGTAGTATACAGTAGACCCCTCATAACATTGTTGATAATTTCGTTTTATATGATTTCCATGTTGTACGAGTCACTTAGATTTTACAAATACGTGAGCCGTTCACAGCCCAGCACACGTATTTGTGAAAGCTAAATGATTCGTACAACATGGAATTCATATAACACGGAATTATCAACAGTGTTATAGGGGGGTCTACTGTATTCATAATGTTTTCTATAACTAAAACGTCCATTGACACATACCAATCTCTCTAAGGTTATGAAATAATCTTTAATTTTAGAGACTTACAGTTTTAATTAAAATAATTTTATTTTTAAATATTCATAAAATTTGAAGGAAAATATTAAAAATGTATTATTCCAAAATATCATTTTGTTATTGTTTTTCGATTACACTTGGAAGAGGGCCATGCAAAATGAAAAATCCATTTCCCCTCGAATCTATTTTGATATTTTCGGCTTTAGTTCCTTCAGGAAGACGTAAATCGTAATTAAACTCTTTCTGGATTGATCGCTCATTTATTTCTGTAGCCTTTTTTGCTCTTACCTATAATAAACTGATATTAATTTATAATAATAATAATTTAGGATAGTTTTAGTCAGACAAATTTAGTAAAACATAATTATTACCATTAAACAGTTATTAACTACGCCCGCACGAATTTCTTCAGGAGGATATTCTCTTAAATCAAACTCAATATGTAAAAGATTTCCTTCAGATTTATTACGAACTAATTGATTTACTGACCAAGGCCACGTGTTAGATATATCTTCCTTTGTATGTTGAGAAGATTTCGCTTCGGTAGATTTCATTTGAGTTCCAGGACTTGATGTTACATCTGGCGTTACTGTGGAAGGAATGCCAGAACCAGAAACTGTTCCTATTGTTATATCAGGGGATACATGACTTTTGGAAACTTCTAAATTTGATATGCAAGAGGCATTGTCTGTAGTTTTCTTTTCGTGTACAGATAATCCCGAATACTTAGTTATTTTAGAAGATTTTCCATTAATTTTAGATACTTTTGAATCTGGAATAATTTTTACGTCAGCGGATGTTCCTGGCGAGACAGAATATTTTGGAATTGGTCCTACTCTTTCAATGGCACTAAGAGGCGGACGAGTACTTAGAATTTTATCTGGAGAAGTTTTAATAGGTCCTGAATGTTGCGGTACTTGCATAGATGTAATTGGTTTTCTGATAGATTGTACGGTTGTTTCTTTATTTTCACGAATTTGCGGAGAAACGACAGATTTAGGGATAGTTTCTACATCTGTAGATCTTGCATCAATTGGACTTTTCTGTTCTTTAGTAACCTTAACATATCTTACGATATTTTGAGTGTTTCCAGTTTCTGGAGATGATTTTCCGACAATTTGAGCCATAGAAAGTGATCCTGTTGAAATGCTTTTTAATTCTGGAAGATTTGAATAAGGGCTTCCTCCTGATAACGTATACTGTTCGAGTGAGGAATTTGGAAATATTACTTTATTTCCGCTTGATGTTTGCGTTTCATTTTGGTCCAACAATGATTTTTCTCCCGAGAGTATTTCCATACCTGTAGTTCTTTTTGGAGTTCCTGTAGGCGATAAAAAGCTTGAAAGTTTTTCTGCAGAGTCATGCATTTCATTTAATCTTTTTTCATAGCTATATAAAAACTCGTCTACTTCTCTACTAGTATTTAGAAAAAAATTTTGCAATCTTTCGATTTCTTCTTCCATTTGCTCTATATCCGTAAGTTCTAGTTTAAATCTTGATGAGCTACGGAGGAAAATTACATATTACAATGATATCATAGTATAAAAATTTTAAATAATTTATAAAATATCTCCGTATAATAATTGTATTCGGTTTGATTTAATGAGATACGGCAACGTAACACATGAGTATCTGCCTGGAAGAATGTCTTCCAGGAATATTTTAGGGAAAATTGTCCCTATTGAGGCATTAGACACATGAAGAACTTAGAAAATTCCTGATAGCCAGGCTGTTGGTGAGGCACGAACTCACGACAAGTACCAGTGTTCGGTAGTTTTATCCTTTCGGTCACTGGTAAGCACAACTGTATTTGGAAAATTTAAAATAATTGAAATATTAGCAAAAAATAAACGAAATAAACAGCAGAAAATTTGTAAAACTACCCAGTATATAGTCGAATCTACTATTAAAATGCATTTATGCAGGCTTCCTAAATACAGCATAAGTATGACATTATTTCTATTGTAGTTTAACCGTCGATGACAGTTTATTACTGCTTTAACGTATGCTATTTATAGCTATAATGTCACAAAAAAACTACATAGACGATTTGCTGAAAGCTAGAAGAAGACCAGTTGCAGACGGATGGGTCCAGACTCTCTTCAGATGGGTTCAGACAAAGTTTGAACATGGCAAAACGCCATGTTCAAACTTTGGGCTAGGTTTCACAGAATAGATATTGGATGTCATTCAAGAAGTATATGGCCAAGTGTTACCATTCCCCAGCAAGACCTCTACTTAATAAATGTTAGCGATGCATCGTAACAGACGAATGATAATTCTGTAACTCGCCGCAGGGCTGTTGGTGTTAGGGTTTCACAGGAGGATTCCGAATGGTCTGTTTGCCAGACGCTTTGTACAGTACGTTGCGTTATATTTACCTCTATAGTGTACAAAAAAGTCTATCTCAAATGGTGTCAAGAACAACCACATTGAACTTTAAATGAATGGAGCAATGTTCTGTTTACTGATGAGTCCAGGTACAATCTACAGTCTCGTTGGACTAGATTATGGAAAGAGAGGAGAATCTGATAAACTCCCATGAACATCGTGAAAATATACCGGTTTGAAGGTAATGGTATCATGATCTGGGGTATCATGCTTAGTATAGCACTGAGCTCCAAGTTTCTCGCAAGGGATACCATTATTGCACGAAAGTATAGAGGAGAGGTTTTGGAGTCCCATGTGAGAGTTTCCCTAAATGCTATTGATGCAGATGTTATTTTCATGAACGATAATGTTCACACATATAGAGCTACACTCATCGTTTGACAGTGAGATATTCATCGCATAAATTGGCTAGCAAGATCTCCCGACTTAAATCTCATAGAACATTGTAGGACGTCTAGGGAGACGAGTTACATCTCTTCAACCTCCACCAAGAACATTCCAAGAGCTTCACGATACTTTATTCGCGAATATACAGTACTTAGCTCTCGATAGAGCTAATAAACAACGTTATAGTCAGCATAAACAATCACTAGAGTGGTATATGCTTGCACCACAAACCATATTAATCATTTTCTGTGCAAAAAGATGATAACGCTTAGTACTTTTCTTATTGTTTTGATTTGACGTAATTTAGAATTTTTTATTTTCAATTGTTTAGTTCATAATAAACACAATATTTTGTTTCATGTTAAGTTTCACGCTGCTATGATCTATAGTTCTTGAGATATAGGTCAAAGTAATGGTTATGCTTAAGTTTGAAATAAATGTGTATACATGTTCATATAAAAATTCAGCAACGAGTTGCATAACTTTCCCAGCAACATTTAAAATTGCATGTAGCACCATCTGTTATGACATTTTATTTATTTTTATGTAATTAATTATCATAAAGTGACAAAAAGCTTAATTTGCAGGGTAGAAATAAGTTTTATTAAAAAATTAATGCTAATAACGAGTAAAATCTTCATTAAGTCCGACTTTACTAGATGGAAGGACATACGACCCGCTCTATCTCCCCACTCCTCCAACCTTTAACCACTAAAATTTAATAGTATCAATATCCCTAATATACAAATCTCCCTACAAAATTTCAGAAATTTTCGACAAAATGCACAGGAGTTATTATAATTAAGCTTCAAAGTGGATGAACAAGATCACCAACACAATAACATTCATACGTACAGAAACTCCCCCGAATATTTTGCATTTCTCGACGTTTCAAGGTCTCTGGAGTCCGAATATGTACAAATCTTGGGGGTCATTTTCTGACCGATCGCCATACTTTCCCTCCGTTATACATAACAGCCGGGAAAGTAATATAGTATATATATATATATATGAATTACCTTAAATTTTTCTATAATAGATTCTATAACTGGATATACGAAAGTAAACAAGACAAACCTTTGATCAGTCGTGTAAGGTGTTTCAGGAGAAAATCTCTGTGAAATTTCATTGTCTGGAGTTTTTGATAACTCTGTGATTGTTGGACCGGATCTCGGTACATTGATTATTTCAGTTATTTGTATTTCTGCTTCTGTTTTTAATACCTCAAATAATTGCTGCAAGCCTCTTAATATGTTTTCTTGAATTGAATCCATTTTGCATAAATTTTCGAGTGAGTATCTATAATATTAATTATTAAATATGAAAAAAATTATTAAAATTATCTATTATCATTTTAAAAATATCGACGTAATTCTATTTCTTAATAAAAAGTTAATATACTAAACAATATAAAATTCCTTATTTTAGTAAATCGTTCAATCAATTTTTTCCTTGACCAAGTAAATAAAACCCCTAAACAATAGTAGTTGGTCATGCTTTGCGCTAATCAATTTAGAGCTTTTAGAGTTTTCTTCACGCGTCTAACATTTAAATAGAGACATGTTTATCAAAGAAAATCCTTCCGGGAGGCACCCCTACATGGTAGATCGTCTATGTTATTGCGCTGCCATATCCCATCAACAGAATTTGTAGGTAATAATAAATAAAATGGAATACGATTTCAGCAAAATGCCATATGTGATATAGAAAGAATTAACATGAATTAAGCCAATGATTTTTAAAATATTTCCGTCCATGGCACCCTTAATGTCTCAACAAGTTTTTAACAACGTCCCTAAACCAAAAGAAATACACAAGAGTTTCGTTTATTAAATAGCGATTAAATTTATAATTAAAAATTGTATCTATCGTGAACATTTTATCTATTTACTTGCCTTTATATCTTATATAATATTAACATTTTCAGACTGTAATAATTGCTTTCTTAATAATACTAATTATAAACAATTTCATTCTTAACAGTAATAATAATTCACTAAATTCAATTATTGGAGTAAGTTAACTAAAAGTGTTTAAGTGATTTAATTTATAAATTAAAATATTAAGTATTTATTCCATAATAAATGATTACATTTTATAGTCGGAAACATAACATGTGATAAATGTCCACGTCTATGGTACACTGCATCAGGAGCATCACGATACAACATCTAACAGTAGTCTGCCATCAGAGCCGTTTCAGAAACATTGGTAACGTTGTTCCGCTGACTAGATATCTTGGTAGAAGCACTCATCTTGTTCGTGACTTACATCATTAAAGTTGTTAGGAAAGAAATATAAATGGGAATGTAGCAAAACGTAACTTAATTGACATACAACAACCCATTTTCTGGTATGCACGTAGAAGTTTCTTGACACTAGGGTTTCTCATTTCCCGATCTTTTGCTTGTCCCGGGATTACGGGATAAAAGTGAACTGTTTCCCGGAATCCCGGGAAATCTCGGGATAGAATTAATTATTTTTAAGGTATACAAAATATCTTGAAATTAAATGATATAATTATTTTTCATTTTTAAAGTAATTTTAAAGTTCTGTATTATCCAAAATCATATTAATAATGCTGTATAAGATATATAATAAAAATTGAATTTGAATTACGTAGAAATTTTCACAAATAGAAAAAAATTTATTAAATTTTGCTAGAAACTGCATACAACAACAACAACAACAACAACAACAACAACAAAAGTGCTTTGAATTGAGTTAAAAATAAAAAATTGAACTTAGATCAAACTTATAACTTAAAAGGTAATTTTCGTTTTTTAAATAAAATATAATACAAAATATTGTAAACTTTTATAAGATTTTAAAAAGCAAAGATGATCAATACTCCGATAACTCACTCTAATTCTTATTTTAGTAATGAAAAGTCTTGCCACCGAGAATGCCCTTTCCGATTCAATTGATGTGATTGGAATAGTGTTTAATGCATTTAAGAGAAGACAGATATTATGTGTTTTTTCACCTGTAGCCTGGAAGATTTCGAGTTCGTTTTCGAGATTGTAGTACTTCTTTCGCTCTCTAGTATTCTTGATTTGTCTACCTTGGCTGCTTTAATAGCGGCATCAAGCTTAGAGCTCGATAATTCGGCAATTCATTTGGCTTTAATAATCAGGTTTATGAAGAAAAACTTCATACTTGCAGACTTTATACTCGTTTGTATCTTTGACCAATTTGCACAATCTGGCGTTACGCATTTATTGAAGCTACTGGGCATGGTTAAAACTCAAGACAGCGTAAGCACAATTATTCCAGATATTACAGGTTCTGACAAGTAAAGAATTTTCAGAGTCCTGCCACAAATAAGCTACGTATTGATTATCGACCATTTGTGACATGCCATAACGAGCAAAAATTAAAAAAAACTAATAGGTAGGTTTAAAATTAATACATACAAATGTATTCTGACAGTGAATGAGATAATTATGCTTTCTATTTGCAAAATTTCTTAACCTTAACACAAAATAAGAAAAAAAGTGAATTTTTAAGAAATTTGCCGGATTTCCCGTTATAGGAAAAATTTCCCGGGATATTTCCCGGGTTAAAAAAACAACCGGAATCACGGGATCCCGGAATCCCGTTTGAGAAACACTACTTGACACCATCGCTGAAGACAGATTTCGTTTTACGTAGGAAGTTTTCTCAGACGCACTGAGAAAATTGTCCATACTTCTCGTGGTAGTGGACGAATGGATAAAACCACTGAACACTGGTAGTTGATGGACTGACCACGTGGAGTTTTCCAGGTTTTCTTCACTTTTATAACTCTTAAATATGGACCAGTTTCCCTTAAAAGTTCTCCCGAGAAAGCATCCCCCCGACAAACTGCGTTGCCAAATAAATCAAACTAAGCTTCTCGTTCTTCACAAGTAAGAGTTTCTATAAACTCGCCATCTTTATGGATTTTCATATTTCTAGACTTACGAAAACGCTCATGATGCTCTATCTGTGATGACGTTCGGAAATTTTCCAATCTGGTATTGAAACCCATTGGAGATCATCCCTGTATTGCCTTCACCAATGCTTTTTCCAACCCGGGTTTTATATGCAGTAGAGGAAGAAATATCTTCTTGGAATCAACGAGAGGAACATGTTGAATGCTGTATTTTCCAAGCTCCAATGTATGAGCTGCGGGAAAATTAAGTATAGATTTGGAATCGGGATAAAAACATTGTCTAGAAGATGAATTAGTTTCTCTTATAATTTTTCATTATAGATCTGTGTTATTATACAAATTATTTGTATTAATTACCAAAATTAATTTAAATACAGTAACAATAAAGAAATGGATTTATTTGAACATACACTGATGGAAATTCATGAAACTTGGTAAACATGTACAGGGGCATACCCAGAAGAAATGAATGCAAAATATAATTACTCAAAGTTTTATCGCTGTTTGGTACATGTTTCAGTAAGAAGTATGCCCACCTTGAGTGTGGATACACTCTTGGATCTTTGCAGGCATTGAATCAATAAGTGCTTGAATGTCTTGTTGGGGTATATCTCTCCATGCTTGCACAACTTGTGCAGTCAGTTGTACAGTGCACACTGGATGGCTATGAGACGTAATCCCATGGCATCCAGACATAATCTATAGAGGATAAATCTGGAGACTGGGTGGGCCAATTCATGATTGTGACATTTTGCAAGGCCTGTCTTGTGATGGCAGCAGCATGAGGATGGGCAGTATCTTGTTGGAAGATACTGTTTTGGATGGTGTTCATGAAAGATATGACTACTGTATGGATTACCCTGTCCACATACTGGTGGGTGGTCGTTGTGCCTTCAGCAACCACCAACTTGGTCCTGCTGTCATAACTTATAGCCCCACCCAAATCACAGGAGTTGGACCTGAGTGGCATTCTGAAATCACAGCAGGATGGGCTCTTTCTCCAACATGCCGGCAGACATGTTGCCGACAATCACATTGGCCTAGACAGAATCGGGATTCATCACTAAACACAACTGTATGCCATTCATGTGTCCAGTTACATCTAGCAGCACATCACATTAGCAATTGTTGGCGATGAAATCTGGTAAGGGAACACATTGTATGGGGTCCAAGATCTCAGTCCAGCATCAAGCAATTGGTTTACAATTGTCTGTGGGATGACTCTGGCGGTAACTACTACTTGAATCTGTGCTGCTATTCGCAAAATATGGCGATCCTCACATGACATCATCCTTCTGTGTGGACCTGTGCCAGGTCTGCGAGTACTGGATCCTTCCTGCATCCACCATGTGACCACTCTTTGTACTGACATTGCACTATGGCCAGTCCTTCAGGTGATTTCATGATATAATGCTCTTATTTCTAACATGCCAATTATCTGACCTCTTTCCAAGTCAGATAGACATTTGGGTGTACGGGGTTCTCACTCGTCAATATGGCATAGCTGGTCACCAACAACCTGTGGACCGAAAAAAGTCATGTTCCATAACATAGTTCACAACTTACAAACTAAACACAATAGCAATTTTGCATAACAAATGTATCCGTAATTTTCATACCACTGTATGTACTTTATTTAATTTTTGATCATTCAATACTCTTCAAAAAGATTTTTTTGTCCCAATTTCATATGTCTTTGACAATACTGGGTGGGTGTAACACTTTCAATTTCTGCTAGTGTATTTATATAAAAAAACAAGGTAATAGAATTAATAATAATTTAGGAAGAGAGATTCATGGAATAATATCATTTATAGAGGATGTAATGGGTAATAAAAGTATTTAAAGAGGATATAACAGTGGAAAATATTACAGAAAAAGGAAATAAGAACANTTTTGGTTATATTTATTTCTTGTCTAATTAATTTAAAGCCTAATAGAGTTTAAAGTTTAAGAAATTTTTAAACTTTTAATAGTTTCAGTTATTGGTAAATCTACAGGTCCTGGTAGCTTATTATTAGTTAATGATGATTTAATGGTTAATAAACTACTTTTGCATAATTTAAATGATGAATTGGTTAAGTGAAAGTCATCAATTTGGTTATAAAAAATATGTCAAACGTCTGTTCGATACATTTTTATTTTTAAATTTTTTAATAAACTGCAAATTAAACTGGTTAAAAAGTTAGTGGGTGATTTCGAGTGGGTTTACATCCGTCTGGTTGTCTGTTCGTTCTGATTTCGCTATTTTAGGCATGAAACTTTGTAATGAATAATATCAATATTCTTAAAATAAGTTGCTTTTATTAGCACATTCCTGTACATTATTATATACATTTAAAAACCCAATTAAAAAATATTTAATTTAGAATTTACAGAGTAGTAAAATAGAACTCCAACAACCAAAGTATATTTCCTTCCCAGCACCTCTTTTTTTTTTAAACATATAACCGATGATCGTTGTCCTTATTGGTGCTAAAACATTTGTTTTAATGTTCAGGAATTTGTATTTCTTCCAGATCTATAACGAGTTATATATTCTTCTGCTGACATATAAGGAACATTATGACTTTTGCCAGATCTGGAAGACGTTTTGGAAGAATGAATCTTACTTTCGCTAACGTAAAAACGAGAACTGGGAATGGGTATTGATGGATCATGAACGTAACCTTTGGATCGACTGTTTGGATGAGATGAGGAATCATGTACATGAACCACTGGAGGTGCTACCGGATGTGAAGATGCACTATGAACGTAGCCCTTAGAATCACTATTCGGATGCGATGGAGCTCTGTGAATATGAACGGGTGGAACTGGACGTGGTTTCACGTAAGATGGTCTACTAACTGGTCTTTGCACAGTGGATTGAGGTCTGGGACCGCCAACGTAGGCTTTAGTGTTAGTCGACCTACTAACTGGTCTGACAATAGATGCTTGAGGTCTGGAACCTACATAGCCTTTGTTCCTATCTGAAGATCTTGTTATAGAAACACTCGAAGATCGAGAAATGGCGATGATTTCTGGTTTTACAGGTGGTGATACAACTTTTCTTGGAAGAATGGGTGGAACGTAGCCTTTGCTACGACTGCCTGAATGTGATGATGCCTGATGCACTTGACCTCTTTCAGGCTTTCGATGAACGAAAGTGTCGTGAACATGAACGCTTTGCTGTGAAGTATCGTGGACATAGCCTTTCGAGCGACTGTTTGGATGCGAAGAGGCTTCATGTATATGAGTAGCAGGAGGAGCCGGACGGATTACAGGTGCGGGTGCGCTGTGCACGTAACCTTTAGATCGACTGTTGGGGTGAGAAGAAGCGTCGTGAATTACGTGCACAGATGGAGAAGATACTGAAGGAGGACGTACATTATGGACGTATCCTTTAGATCTGCTATTTGGATGTGAAGAGGCTTCTGGAATTCGAGCAGGAGGAGGTACAATACGCGGAGGAGGAGGTACAGGACGTGAAGGAGAAGGCACTACAGGAGGAGAAGGAATAGTATGTACGTAGCCTTTAGATCTGCTATTAGGATGCGAAGAAGCCTCCGAAATTCTCACTGGCGGTACAGGACGCGATATAGGAGGTGGAGGTGGATGAGGAGCTATTGGTGGAGATACAACGTTATGAACATAGCCTTTTGATCTACTATTCGGGTGAGATGCTTCATCATGGATAATATGAACCGAGGGAATAGCTATCGGAGGTGGAGGTGGCTTAGGAACAAAGAGTCTGTTGTCTACAGATGGATGTGAAGCCGGATCATAAACGTAACCCTTTGTTTCTCTGTTCGGATGAGATGATGCATCAGCCACATAGTCACCACTTTCCGTTTCATTAACGCCATCGATTATAACCGGGATACCTACTTCTCCTTCAGGATATCCATCAGGTCCAACATCACCTTTCGCACGAAAACCAAATGGTCCGGCTTCGTAAACTACTGTTCTTAATTTACCATTAGGATCCGTATAAGAATATTTTCCTCTAACAATACCACTTTCGTCTTTACTTTCTCTTCTTAGGGAATGAGCACCGTGAAGACCAGTATCATATCCAAAGTCATACGTTCCTCTATCCCCCATCATCTGATATTGTATAGGAATTTCTTCATCATCAGCTACAACAAAAGTAGCTAATAAGAGTAATAAAATAATCTGAAAAATATTTTTAAAAATATTTATTACTTACAAATTTAGATATATAAAAAAATCTATTAGAATAATCGATCTTTTACCTGTTAATTTATCATAAACAGATTTAATTATAAAAGTTCTCCTTAGAAAGTTAAAAGTTACTATTATAATTAAAAGTTTAAATTAATCTACTGCACATAAATTGATACTTCTGTATATTTAAATTAATATATTTAAGCTCTAAACAATGTTAAGTTAATATAAATTTTAATAATGTTTTTAAATTAAGATATATTTTATTTTCTAAATAAATAAACTGAGATAAATCATTTTTATCTTATGGTAAATATTTTATTTTATTGAAGCACTATTAAATTAAAACTAATTTAAGTTAATTATATTTCAAATTGATATTTAACAATGGTTTTAACAGGTGAAACGAAACACGCAAACGAAAGTACTACATACCATAGTGGAAGTTGAGACAAGTAGATCAATCTGCCGTATTCTGCCAACTACCCACTACGCCTAATATATAAGTAGCGTGTAGGAGGTCCATATGGCGTCGCCGTATACGGACACGTCATTAAGCAGTGACGATTGTTTGAAAGAGGAAAAGTGACCAACAAAGCAGCTGCAACAGAAGAAAATAAATAAAAAAAAAAATAACATAAAATAATGACATTATTTTGTCATACATTTAGGTCAAGATCACGGTTACTACTTTACTTTGACTTTAAAAAAAAAGAAGTGAAAGTATTTATGATTTATGAAATGTTTTAATTATTTATGAATTCGAGAATCACGTCGTCTTTGCTTTTGCAATTTCCTATCAGTCATACATGAATATTTTTCATTAGTAAATTTTGTAATTCTAAAAAAGAAAAAAATTATTCTTGAAAGTTGATTATTAATTGTTAAAACATTTCAAGAATTTTCCTAAATATTTCGACATACGTTTGGTAGTTTTGTAACTGGGTCTTAAAAGGTGAGATCTCTGATCTCAATACAGATGAGAACATTAGTATTGTGTACTAAACGTGATTCACGAGGAAGTTAATCTACAAAAATAAGCCTATTCTTAGCTAGTAAATTTCTCGATTTGTTTGTTAATTTTAAGGTTGTTGCCCTTAAAATTAACTTAGAGATGATTGCATACGCTTTTCACATTCTAACATCTTTCCAGCTTAAGCATGTTCGTGTGTAAATGCTTGAATAGAAGCATACAATTTAAATAGGCGCGCTTGGTAGTGTAGGAGGATCATAATTTGAGTAACAACCCATAAACTTGCGTAATTTTTTTTTTATTTATAGACTTAGCTGTGAGTTTAAAATTAAATTTTATATTTAAAAAATAATAATAAAATTAATATTTAACAGAATAGATAACTATTCTGTAGCTATAAATAAGTAAAGTACCATAGATGTATTGTATATATATATATATATATATATAATGTGTGTGAGTATGTAGAAAGAGAGTATAAAAGCATGCAGTGTCATCAGTTTTTTTAAATATAAGTCTAAAGTTGGTCTAATTAAATACCTTCTGTGCAGCGTATTTATTTAGGAAACAGGAAAACAAAAGACATAAATTATAAAATATAAATGACCAAGTTTAATTGTCGTAATGAAATAAGAAAAGTAATAACTCAAACTTTAAATTACTAGAGAAGATATAGTAATATTTTTTTGACATAATCCTGCTTATATTATGATATATTTTCATATAAGCGGATCTTTGAAGTCGTAATAACAGATCATTAACGTCAACAAAATAGTTAATGTATCTTAGGTGTATTGTTACTTTAGGATATCTCAAGGACAACGTCTGCATATTGTTTTGCTACTGCAGGTGTATTCTGTTTTTGCCCACTTTAAAAATGTTGCGTACAGCAAAAGAAAATAGAATTTCATACTCTCAGAAAAATAAAATTCCGATCCTTGTGCTGTTTTTAAAACTGTTAAAAAAAATCGTGATACATCAATGTGATGTTTTTCCTTCATTTTTTTTTATATTTTCGCTTGAAGGTTTTCCGAAGTTAACGTTAGAAAATATGTAAACATTGCGTAATGGTACAACCACTCGATTTTTGATTGATAATACGGTAGGCGTTAAAAAATAATATTTAAATTGTATAAATTAATTTGATTTTTGTGTGTATATTATTAAAAAAAAAGCAGAAGAGCAAACTTTATGTTATAAATATTTTTTACGCTTCGAGATAAACAAACTTAAATCTTCGATAAATATTTACAAATTAAATTAAATTTTTCAATTTACTAAAGTAAAATCATGATTTCTATTTGATATTTTGTATAAGAACTTTCTATTATTCGCTTATTTTCAAACTTTTTACATTAAAAAAACGCTCTCATATTTAATTTAAAAAATTAATAAAATATAAAACACAGAGGTTTAAAATAATATTTTATTGTATATTTTATATTAAATTTCACTTTAAAAATAGAAACTAAGAATATTTCCTTACATTATCCTTGACATGAATTGATACAGAAAATTATTGAAACTAATATTAATGCCTTTATTATGCCTTAATTTCACATATTATATGCTATACACCACATACATTATTTAGTTTTAATTGCTTTCGTAAATTATTAAAGCATTAAAATCCTTCTTTAAGATTCCTCTGTTACTCTTTCTATCGTGTTATACATTTGAATGTGTTTTATAACTTAAAAATTCAACTTGCTTACAAACTAAACTTAATAATTAAATATATTTAAATAATTTTAAAAGAATTTTCAATCACTCTTTCTATGAAAACAACGAGAAAATTTAATAAATTGTATCGTATTATTAGCACAGTTTTTACAGTATTATTGTATAAAATATATGATAATCTTATATTAAACAATAAATATAAATGAAAATTATTGAAAAGTATCCTATTTTGTTAAGAAAATAACATTTTTTTTTAAACAGTAGAATGATATTGCGGAAGATTCCGTGGATCTGGGGAAAAACCCAAGTGATTCAGGATGTATTCATTAATTTTACAAGATAAAAAGATGAAAATTTTACTTTCGTCGAATATTGCAAATATATTAAAAATAATAAAGTAATTTATATACAAATGATAATAATTCATAAGTTATTTACATTATATTATAAGAACAAGAAGTTTATAAATGATAATTCTGATAAAATATTGTATAAGATCAAATGCGAAATTCTCAAAATTTATTTATATTTACTCATACGTAACAAATTAATATAACTGTTACGTGTAAGGAAAATCGTTATAAGATAATTTTCTTAGAATTCTACATATAATTTTATTCAAAAATGGGCGAAACGTATTCTAAAGGTGGCGAAAAAGCTATGTAAACAACGTCCTTGCTCAAGATGTCTTTAACTACAGAAAACTTATATGAATTTTTTGGCAAAACGACAAAATGATATGATGGAGACCATTGGCTAATATGTAAATTTTTTATCCATTAAAAGCGTTCATTAAAGAAGATACTCCCTTGTCAAAAATATACGTTACATCCTTCACTAATTAGCCCCTAGAAGTCCTGGAAATTTGTCATTTTCTTAATAAATAATAAATCTGCAGATGTTCGTTTTATTAATATTAATGATTTTAGATATGTTTACAACTATAAATGTTAAATTTTAATTGCTCAAAACTTCACGAAATTTAGTCGTTACGATGCTGTGCAAGTATTCGTGTACTACCGTTTACTACTATTTTACTTGATCGTGACCTTCATTTTATATTTAAAAACATGAATATAAAATACTTTTTACCTTTTCGAAATTAAAAATTCTTTGCTTACATTTCTAAAATATTAATATTATTATTCAATTATTGAAATATATACGCCGAATATATTTCAAGGAATCATAAACTAGAAACCTAATAAACTATTATCAAGAAAATCATCATAAAACTGCTTCAAACACACAAAAGAAGAAATATACAATGACATAAATCTTCAAGAAGCAGCTCCTAATTTGCATTTAAAAAGCCTATAGTATCGCTACCAAGATATCATCTCTTGAATATGATTATATATAAATCAGCGAAGCAATTTATTATACAAACCATCAGAGAAGTTGCCTTTATATATATACCAGTAAAGCTATTAAAATTGTTTATTATATCACCATCGAGAAATATGAATTAATATTAAGCTATTATAGTAAAACCTGTGTAAAGCGGACACTCTACAAAACGAAAACATGCCTAAACGGAAAAAAGTATCGGAACGGAACGAGTTTTTATATGAAATATTATTAGAAGCTGGAAACTTGAAGCAAATTTGAAAGTTTTTGTGTCTTATGCATATTTTCTGTCGCTCTCTGCCTACTGTGCAGTACGTACTATACGTCTTTTAGCATTTGTACCCGAATTTCTAAAACCACTGAACACTGGTGCCTTATCTATGAGCTGACCACGTACATTTTCCGGGTTTTCTTCACGTGTCTAGCACCAAAATAAGGGTCAGTTTTCATAGAAAGTCCTTCCGGAGAGGCATCTCCCGTTTGGAAGATCGCCCACGTCTTGCTTTGCAGTATCCTATTAAACCAGACCTTTCAACAAGTCTTTGAAACATAAAAAACTAATATTAAACGGTTCTAAATATGAAGCGAACATTTTTTCAATACATTTTTCTGCATTAATCAAAAAACATAACCCTTTATAAAACAGAAACCTGAAAAAAACGGAAAATTCTGACTAGTACCATCGTTTTTAGACGGGTTTTACGGTATAAAAATGAAGAAGAATACGAAATAAGCATGCATCAATTGACTGCTATGTATGAATTTCTTTAATTTTTTTTTAAATTTAAAATTCATTTAGTTGAATAAATAAATAAATATACAAGAGTTTCTGAAGGTTACAGAAAATAGATCCTTACTTAATCGTTATTACCAATGCAGATTCATCTAACGTAATCCTTTTATTCATAGAATTTATACATGAATAATATAGGCTTATGTAAAATTTCTAAGAAAATTAAAAGACCTTATAAGAAAACTATTGACATAATATTAAAATAAGGTTAGAAGAATATCAAATCCCACGGTACTTTCAGTAGAATCGTGGCATTAACCATAACTTAATTAAGTTTTTGTGGAAAATAAAAATGTCAAAGTGCATTCCTGCGTGCAACTTTACGTAGTTTACGCCTTTTCCTCATTTCTAGATAAAGGTCAAGCACATCCGCATTATACACGCTGGCATAACTGAATTGTTTCGTAAGAAAAGACAAAATAATATGGGAAAATACGAAAAAATGTAGGTTTAAACGTCATTCTTCGATAGAAAAAGATTCATTAAATTACATGACAAACTCCTACATTTGTTATAATTAAATTATATTGTGCAAGAAACAACTAATAATAAAATCAGAAATATACAGATTCACAATAAAAACCTGTTTAAATACATGAAATTTATATTATTCAAGGTAAATTTTATAGAATTTTACAAATAATAATGTCATTAGAATATTCGCATAAAACGATTATTTCACATAAAATTTACTTATAATAATGACATAAGTTAGTAAATTTTAATAACTATATATATATATATTTGAAGTAAAATATTTCTTGTAAAAA